TGATACAATCTCACTGCATGCATTGCCCTGCTCCAGAATTTCAAAGAGAGTACACATATCTACACTTTGATATCTCTCGTTTCCTACAAATATGAGAGTATACTATTGAAGAAACAAACAATGGAAGTTGATGAATGCTAGGTACTCATTGTCACATCTTACTTGCCTACTATGTAACATGACTGCATTAGGTAATGATTTACATGATCTCCTTCCTGAAAAGTAGGCTGCAAGGTGAATAGTGTCCTCTTAAATAAATGAAAAACTGAAATTCAGAGAGTTGCAAATAAGCCCAGTATCAAGATATTAGGTCAGCATGATATTATATCTATTACTATTACACACAAAAGAAACCTAGCCACTTTTTTTTTTTTTTACTTTGTTTCTGGCTCATATCATGTAATACACATCACAATTTGTACAACACTAATTATTGATGAGTATATCAGCATATTTTACTGCAAGTGGTTGTAAAATAATGATCACACTTTAGACTTTCAGCCACATTTTCCCCCCTTGACCCATAGTGTTAGCCAAGAGCTTTGTACATAAAGAAAGATGATGAACATTTATTGGAGATGGAAATGTCTTTTGAGACTGACTTGTTAAATGCTTTATGTCATTAGTATATCATCTTTTTTGTGTGAATAATTATCATGTCATATGTGACTCAATGAGTCTTTGATGCCTTTTCTTGGGTTTTGCTCAGTATATATCTTTGAAGAACTAAATCAAAAAAGTGACTTGAATAAAAATTCATTTTATGTGAAAACTTTTTTACTTGGTGAAGTTAAAAATACATAAATTGGGGAGGGGGGAAATCACTCCAGAGATTTTGCTTTTTTTTTTTTTTTTTTTTTTTTTTTTAGTTTTTGATTGTATGTTTGGAGAATAATGGCTTATTTTTCTGTGGGTTGTAGACAAATTTAAATCTTTCAAAATATATATTAAAACTTATATAATGTAACTTTGCATTTTTATATGTCTCAAATCAGCACCTTATTTTGTGGCTTTGGATAAAATCAGGCAGGTGCTGAGGCTAATGCATGGGAATATATTTTACTCTTAATATAAAAACTTACCCTAATTTCCTTTCTATACCTGTATTTCCACACACACACATTATATATATAAACAAATTCCAAGTTCTAAGTTAAATGCAAAATATCTAGTAGACATGGCTCTTGACCTTGCTATTATAACTTAAAATAAACTATTAAAAATAAATAGTAGAGATGCACTGTCATTTGTATTTATTTGCAGTTATTTTGTGCTGAATATATTCCTGGGCTATACATGTTGGTTTCCTCACTTTTTTTGGGATATCTTTTTCCTCTGTGTAACTTCCTGCCTGACTTGTTCTTTTGCAGTAGAGATTATCTGGACATAAACTGAATGTCAGGGAGAGCTCATAGATAGGTCACTTGACCATGAGCTGTTTACATTATGTGATACATCTTGGTGAGTTTTTCACCTCAATGTATTTGATGATCAGAGAATCTATATCCAACCCATAAAGTTCAGTATCACTCTGTGTATTTAAGCATGTTCAGTAAATATTCACTTCTCTCTTCCTCTCTCTCTCTCTATATATGTGTGTGTGTGTGTGTAAACATTATTCTTCATTTTGTACATTTTTTTTTTCATCTTGGTTGTAATCCCTGTGGCCTTTCCACCACCTATTCACCTATGTACATTCACCATAGTCCCATGAACTCTCCCCACTTCAGTTTGATCCCCTCTCCACCCCTGCAGAACCTATTGAATGTCTCTGGTTTATAGTTTGTTGTTTTTCATTTTTGCAATTGCTTTTTCTTTTCCTGGTCCCTTTCACTCCTGCTATGAGTGAAACCATCTGGTATTTTTCTTTTTTCTTTCTGGCTGGTTTCACTAAGCATTATCCCTTCCAGCTCCATCTATGTCAACGCAAAAGGCATGCATTTATCTTTGATTGCTGAGTAATATTCCACCATGTATATATAACACAGCTTCTTGAGCCATTCATCTGTTTGGGGCATTTGATCCCTATTTTAAATAGATTCATATTATTTCTGGGCCACCCATCCTGCCTCTACCACTACTGCTTGGGCTGAACAGACCAACAAGTCAACCAGTGTCATGACAGAATGGCATCTGTTGCTTCTGTAGAGTTAGATGTTTTAGGTAGTTGGTAGCTTTGGGATACACTTATCCTTGATGACTTGGGGGAGGCATGCTAAGGAGTGTTCTTATAATGAACATGAAAATTTGAACCTATTGATATGTAAGGTTTAAATGGATAGTGAATAATTTTCAGAGCCATTATCCGAAGCTGTTCATGGGAAGAGCATATGCACTTATTGTATAATTTCTATATTGTTTCATAAGGTGAAAATAAATATTCTAGGAAATAAACTAACCTGGTTTTTACTGACTTAACAGTGGTTTAACCTGGTTTCCTTAACAATGGAAATACTCATATTGCATTATGGAAATATTTTCCCTCTTTTTCCTGTTATTGAATATATATATATATATATATATATTAAGCCAAATGACATTTAAATAGTTACTAAATGTCTACCATTACCTCCTTCCATTGCACAGTTAATTACTCCAATTATTATAGAGAGAAGAAAGAGTGCTGAGTCAAATATTTGGTGTGAAATTCTCATTGTATAACATGTGTGATTTTCCACCACAGTGAATATGAAAGTACCATCTTCCTTATAGAGGTGTATGGAGAATTATATCAGATACTTGGCATATGAGATATACAAAAATAATAATTCTGTTTCTATTCTTTATCTTGTAACATCATTCACTGTGTTTTCTTAGTCCTACTGTAGTATTATTGCATTTGCACTATCAGTAGTATTTGAATGGTAGATATTATTTATTTTTTTATGTATCTTGTTTCATTTTAATTCAGTTTGAAATACCACCATTTTTTCTTTTCCTTTTCTTACAATATGACTTATTTTTGACAGTTACTATTTTTTTCAGATAAAATAGTTCAAGTATACTTCTTTATCTTATCCATTAATTATTATGTACTTGTAATTTTTAAAGTATATATCACTTTAAAAATAACTAACTTTGAACATTAATATTTGTAATTAATTTCAAAAGTGCTATAACAAGTATAATTTTGAAATATATCGTTTATGTCAGAATGTGGATAAGAGAAAACATTGTACATGATCCCCTTTCTTATTTTTTGTTTTATCGAACCCCATATTATTTTTCTTTGTCAGTGCCTTTCCTGTTTGAAAAAATAAAATGATTTATCTATCATGTCCTCATTTGTTTTATAATGTATGTGGAATTAAGAAGAAAAATTTCCACCTATTTGTACTGAATATTGACTCAATATTTTTGAATTTCTGAATGTCTTTCTTGCATAGCCACATTACAATTATTAAAATTAGGAACTAATAATAATTGTTTAAATATTCTAGACACTGTGCTGTGCAATGCATAATTTGTTTATTTACCTAATTTAATGTTATCAAATTAACTCAGTTACTAGTAATAGATCTACATGAAATATGTTAAATTACTTCCCACTCCTCCCACTATCAAACAGGAAGCCAACATACTAAGGAGTTAAAAGACTACCCAAAGTTACAGTAGAGTAGTAGTTAGGTTGGATGATCCTTTTCTAAAATCTGTGCTATTAAATATCACTTTATAAATCTGAGTAATTTTGCCTACTAACTAATTCAAATATTTCAGAAATGTTTCAGAATTTATTTTGGTAGAGAAGGTTTTATTAATTTGTCTTCAGTGATGTTATTTCAGTTTTAATTGCTTTTTAGTATCTCTTATGACAAATTTAAAATTTTATACTAAAGACAGTGAAAAAATGTATATCAGTCACCAGAATAGTAAAGAAGTAAGGCAAGGAGAAAAAGAAAAAAAATATGCTTTATACTCAATCAATTTTAAAACTGCTGACTGAAAGATACTTTCAAAATAATGACTCCTGTACCTTCAGTAATTCTTTCTTTAGGAATTTGTGTGCAGACTTTATGAGTAGGCAGCCACACAAATTTGTTTTCGTAAGATTACTTTTTTATTGCTTAATTTTTACTGTCTATCATGTATGTTTTAACATTTGAAAGCAAGTTTTTTTTTTTACTCTCATGTTGTAAGATCTTGGAAAGTAGGTTGCATTTTTATACTTAGTATTCTGTCCTGTGTTCTAGATTTATGCTTAATAGTAATAAGATTCTGAATGACTTAATTATGCTTGAAAAGAATTCATATGATATGCACAGATATACTTGCAAAGATGCTTAGTAAAGTAATTAGTAAATGTGTAAATAACTTCATAATATCAGTTTCTGGAATAAAAGTAAGGCTATGGTATTTAACTTTTTTTTTTTTTTTAAGATTTATTTATTTGTGCATACAGAGCTGGGGTGCAGGCCAGAGGCTCAGGGGCGGTGAGA